CAGTAGCCACATTGCATTGGTTTCTTATTCAGTGTAGCATCTTTAGAAAAAAAATTCCTGTTTTCCAGTAAATGCAAATATATTTTTATTGATTCGAGAGAGGAAGGGAGAAGGAGAGGGAGATAGCAAGATCAATGATGAGAGAGAATCATTGATTGCTGCCTCTTACACTCTCCCGCCCCCCCGGGGATCGAGCCCAAGACCCAGGCATGTGCCCTGACCAGAAGTCAAACTGTGACCTCCTGGTTCATAGTCGATGGTCAACCACTGAGCCACGGCGGCCGGCCAGTCCTGTGCCTTTTCATTTACCCTGCCTGATCTTTGCCATCCCCGTGATAGCTCCTCTACAACAGTCAGTGAAAGCAAACCGTTCCCGCCCCCAGGCATTTCCTCTGGACTGGTCCCCTTTATTACCTGTGACCACAGGTATTTGCCGACATGTGTCAGGCACTGTAGTTCGTTGTCTGAAGCCAAGTGAGAGTAGCTGCCTCTTCAGTCTCTCATCCTTCTTTTCCATTCCAGTCCTCTGCACGAGAGTCAGAGACCCTGGGTGGGTGGGAGGGAGAGGCTGGCAAAGGGCGCACGCATTCAGCTGTGGACGGGAAGGCCTGGGACCTTGTGAAAAACCTAGTGGCGGCCGTGATCACTGTCATGTAATTGAAACGTGAGCAGAAACGAGGTTCTCACGAAAGTGGATGTGCGAGGTGACGGGTGTGTTCATTCGCTCTGTGAAGGGAGTCCGTTCCAAGCACATGTGTATCAAGTCCCCACTCTGTGCATTTTTAATGTGGTGCTGATTTACTTGTCAGTTACACCTCAGCAGAGCTGGGGGAGTCCTGCCCCGTGTCCAGCTTGAAATTGCATCCTACCCTGCAGCTCCAACTCTGAGGAGCACTCCCCCCAGAAACTGCCCGCCCATTCCCTCGTGGGGCTGGGCCCTCGCTCGGCCGGCAGGTCTGCCTGAGCCCTCTGGCCTTGGTCACTGCAGCATTTCGGTCTTTAAAGAACTCAGTGTAGATGGGGAAGATTTGCCGAAGAATGGGTGCAGTCAGCGCCAAGGGCAGAGGAGGGGCTGCTGAAGGAGTGGTGGGCTCACACCGCACGGGCCACGCACCCAGAAGGCTCCGCAGAGAGGGGGCGTTGGTGCATCTCATCACCTGCTCCGTCCGCCTCCAGCACGCCGAAGGGGGGCCCCCCAGGAAGACAGCTCAGAGGCCTGCGCCCTGAAAAGCACATGCCCTGTGCTGGACGGAGGTGGAGGTGGCCTTGGGAGGAGGCTGGCCGAGGAGGGCCCGTCGCCTCGCTGAGGAATGCGGGCTTCCCTGGCAGGCAGTGGGAGCACAGCCTTAACCCCAGTCCCTTACGTCCTTTCAGGATCTCCTTTCAGTGATGCTGATGCTCACCTGGAGCTGGCCTGTCGGTGCCGGGCATCCTCACCGGAACCCCTGGCAGTGCTCTAACGGTCAGAGTCTAACCAGCCTCCGTTCCCAGGCTCTGCTCTGACCCCTGCTGAGCGTCTGTCCCGCTCACTCCCTTGCTCCGTGATTCAAATATCCTTGGACGTCAGAATGTGGGAGTTGGTCTTAAATTGATTTCATCACTTACCTCGCCCCACAGTGTTATTGCTTCCTGCCTTGTGGGACATACATGCACGGCGAGCAGTCACTCCCTCACATACCCACAGCCCCTTTGTTCTCGCTACCTTTCCTGTTCACCTTGATACCAAAACTGGTGAAGTCATCACCCAATGTCGCACACACACCGTGGGCTGAGGCTGGGAGAGACCTCCGCACAGCGACCCCCCTCCCTTCGGTCCCTGAGCACCAGTGCGGTGACAGCGCTCCACAGCCCATGCACCCTGTGCACCAGCCTGGCCTCTCCTCGCTCCTGCCTCCATGGTCTCCTCTCAGCAGGACCTCCTGTCTCAGCACAGGGAAGCCTCAGGAGAGTCTTAAGGGCCCACCAGGGCTCCCACCACCGACCAGACTGGGCCCTTGCACGCTGCCCTCCTTCCTGTCAGAGGTGGAGCTGTTATCAGCATAATTAGACGGTGTATTAATGTTCATAACAGGAAGAAAACACAGGGGTGCATGACGTGAAGTCAGAGTGAGGCGGGGAAGGTGCTGCTGTCAGTCTAACTTGGAAAAAAGAATTGGCTGGAGAGGGCAAGCAGGGCTCATCGGCGAAGCCCCTCTCTTCGCTCCTGCTCCCTGCGCGCTGGCTCTGTGACCCGCACTCGCCTATGCGCCTCCACAGCCCTGTGGTGTAGCAGCTGCATGGCTCCGGCCCGGCAGACCCCACACGCCATGCACGGCAGCGGGAGCGCCGCTAAGCCACCGTGCTGGGCTGGACGGGCTTTCCCGTGGAGCAGAGGCAGTAGCCGTGGCCTAATCCGGCCCTGCCCGAGACAGGCTGGACTCTTCACAGCAGGACGGGGGGAAGGGGCCAGGCGTTCGATTCCATGGGAATAAAGATCACGCGCCCTGAATCTCAGGAAGTGCCTTTTCTTGCAACGTCGTCAGAACCCACTCCCACGGCGTCTTGGACTGAACACTCGGATGAGCTGCTGGTGATGCTGCCCACGCTCACCCTCACCAAGCAAACCAACGCGCACATGCATGCACACACACACATACACGCACGCACACGCATGCGTACACACACAACACACGTACACACACACACAAGCAGTTCTCCTGGGCTGTTTCCCGTTTTCTCTCCTCGCACCTGCACTCTGTTCTCTAAGCAGCCCTGTCGTCCTCCTTTCTAAATACACCCAGGATGTCACTGCTTCCCTAGGCCTCCGCCACTCCTGCTTCAGGCCAGGTTGCCCGCCCCTTGGCGCCAACGTCCCAGGTTGGCACACCCTGCTTCTAGTTCCCAAGGGTCCCACAGAGTCCTGGTCACTGTCCGTTCCAGCGGGTCCCCGCTCTGCTCAGAGCGTGCAGGGCCCCACCACTCAGACTAGAAGGCATCTGTCACCATTGTCCAAAGTTCTGCGTGTCCTGGCTCCATGTGCCCTCCAGCTTCTCGGCCTCTGCCTGTCTCCCCTTATCATGTCACTGTGTAACACCTGTACGTCTCTCTATCATGTCACTGTGTAACACCTGTATGTCTCTCTCTATCATGTCACTGTGTAACACCTGTACGTCTCTCTCTATCATGTCACTGTATAACACCTGTACACCTCTCCTTATCATGTCACTGTGTAACACCTGTACGTCTCTCCTTATCATATCACTGTGTAACACCTGTACACCTCTCCTTATTATGTCACTGTGTAACACCTGTACACCTCTCCTTATCATGTCACTGTGTAACACCTGTACATCTCTCCTTATCATGTCACTGTGTAACACCTGTACACCTCTCCTTATTATGTCACTGTGTAACACCTGTACGTCTCTCTATATCGTGTCACTGTGTAACACCAGTACGTCTCTCTCTATCATGTCACTGTGTAACACCTGTACACCTCTCCTTATCATGTCATTGTGTAACACCTGTACGTCTCTCTCTATCATGTCATTGTGTAACACCTGTACACCTCTCCTTATTATGTCACTGTGTAATACCTGTACGTCTCTCTCTATCATGTCACTGTGTAACACCTGTACATCTCTATCATGTCACTGTGTAACACCTGTACGTCTCTCTCTATCATGTCACTGTGTAACACCAGTACATCTCTCTCTCTATCATGTCGCTGTGTAACACCTGTACATCTCCCCTTATCATGTCACTGTGTAACACCAGTACGTCTCTCTCTATCATGTCACTGTGTAACACCTGTACATCTCCCCTTATCATGTCACTGTGTAACACCTGTATGTCTCTCTCTATCATGTCACTGTGTAACACCTGTACATCTCCCCTTATCATGTCACTGTGTAACACCTGTATGTCTCTCTCTATCATGTCACTGTGTAACACCTGTACGTCTCTATCATGTCACTGTGTAACACCTGTATGCCTTACTTTCCTATCCTGTTTCTTTCCAGTCTCCCCCATTAGAATGTAACTTTTGTGAGTCTAGGGTTTTCTGTATGATGTGCTCTCATCTGTGTCAGTGGGGCCTAGACCAGTGCCTGCAGCGTGTAGGCATGCAGTGAACAAGTGAGGGGCCGTGGACCAGGGATGAGTGCACCCTGCAGCCTGCACCGTCTGCTGTGCCCTCAGCACTGCAGGGCTGGGCTGAGATTTGCTCTGACTTAAAGGATGGAATCAGCTCCTCTATGCATTGATTGGAGTTTGTAGTCACAGAGCATATGTAGTTGGCTACACACACACATTCTAAGTCAGTGAGGAAGAATAAGTCTTCACGTGACAGCCTGCATTCTCCTAGGAACATGCTCAGTCATCTTGTGCCAACTCTGTGGTGCCAGGTGGGCACTAGACTTAGTGGCTTATCACTTAGTAAATTATATGTCAGTTTACTGTGTTGTACACCTGAAACTAATGTAAAGTTATATGTCAACTGGAACAGAATTTTTTTAATTTTAAAAAATGATATAAGCAGGAAAAATATGTAAATAATGACCCGAGTTCTATTTGCAGCTCCATAAACACAAGGATGACTGGGCACAGGGCAGCCTGTCCCGGAGCCTCCCTTTCTCCTCTGCTGCCGCGGGCGCGGCTGCCCTGCTCTCTTGTGTCTGTTAGAAGCGCGTCCAGGGGGGTCACCAAAGGGCTCCTGCGTCGCAGGCTGTTCAGGCAGACACAGAGCCCGACCTCCCTACGCAGGAGCAGCCATTTCTGACGCTGCTGAGCTTTCTTCAGCTCTCCTTCCTTGTCCATCCCTCCCCGTGCCTGCATGCATGTGGTGTCCTTCGCAGCCCCCTCCCCACCCCCTTGTGAACCAGCACAGGCAGGGCATCCAGGGAGAAAGCAAGCTGAGGTCACAATGCCCCCATTGCTCTTGGGTGCATGTGGAGGACTCGAGTGTCTGCCCGGCTCTGCTCTGGGTGCTCCTCAGTCAGCCTTGTCTTCTCGCCGCACAGGAAACGACCTGTTCCTCGTGGCCGTGCACGAGCTGGGCCACGCGCTGGGCCTGGAGCACTCCAACGACCCCACGGCCATCATGGCCCCGTTCTACCAGTACATGGAGACCGACAGCTTCCAGCTCCCCAGCGATGACCTGCAGGGCATCCAGAAGATCTACGGTGGGTACCGCTGCTTCTGCGTTGTTGTTGCTTTGAATGTATAGACTTTAGGGAGAGGAAAGGAGGAGGTAGAGCGAGGCCAGCTCCTCGCTCCACTTATTGGCGCGGACTTTGGTTGCTTCTGACTGGAGATTGAACCTACTGCCGTGGACTCTCAGGTGATGACAGATCATGAGGAATTTGTAACACAGATAAGATTTTCTCACTGAGCTTCATCGAAACCTGTAGTCATAGCAAAGCTCTGATAAAGTTTAGTGGTTAAGCTCAGGTAAAAATATGTGATAAATGAATGTAACCAATAAAAACAGCGAGAAATATAAGATTTTCTTCTAAGATACTGAGACTTTGGGGCAGACGCACAGGTTGTCTCCCAGGTTGCGATGCTGCTGTTAGATATTTCATAGACAATGCCTTTTGAAGTTGCAGCAAATACCCTTGCTGGTTGGACATAATGAAATGACCTCAAAGGCCTATAACTACTAAGAATGAAAGTTAACGAACAAGGGCGTGAGCGTTAACAGACGGCTATGCTGACTCACATGTAACCCTAGTGAACTTCTAGTGCAGTGCAGTCGCTTTATTTATGGGTTCAGTCTAGAATGCAGAATACGATGAAGGGAAAGGACTGTTGCACATGTCGACTACAACCCCAGCTCCCTCACAGGAACCCTGCCCGCGAGAGGGCGTCGATGCCGCAGGGCTGTTCAGTTCTTGGCGCTCATCGCCTGCAGAGGGAGGATGTACTGTGCTAAACTGGCGCGTGCACACTTCTCAGTGCCAGGAGAGGCTGCTTGCAGTCTCAGTGGCGTCATTTAAGTTCGTTAATTTTGTGTGCATTCGTTAGCTCGTCAACTGCAATATCTCAGTGGTAAGCATTCTCACAGGGTTAAAACAGATTTGAAAAGCACAGATCCACTTGTGTGTGGCTCTTGATTTTTGGGGGAGACTCAGAAAGGCGATGTTTCTGGGACACTGGACGCGCTGATGAATAATATCCAAGGTAGCTAGCAGGTCCTTCCTGGGCTGAGTCAGGGGTCTAGACAGAAGGTCTGCAAATTATGTGCAAGCAGGTCATTGCTTCTCGCTCTCTCTTTTATCTTGGAATACTCTTCATTTATTTATTTTTTTAATCTTCATTGTTGAAAGTATTACATATGTCCCCCTTTTCCCCCATTAACACCCTCCAGCCCACCCCTGCACCCTGCCCCAGCCTCTCACCACCTAATTGGCCATGCCCATGGGTTATGCATATATACATATAAGGTCTTTGGCTAATTACCTTCCACCCACCCATCCTCCCCCGTCTTCCCTCTGAGAGTCCACAGTCTGTTCCAGGCTTCCACGTTTCTGGATTCTCTCTGTTCATCAGTTTATTTTGCTCATTAGATTTCACATCTGAGTGAGATCATGTGATCTCACTTAGCATGATACTCTCTAGGTCCCTCCATGCTGTCTCAGAGGGTAAGAGATCCTTCCGTTTTACTGCTGCACAGTATTCCATGGTGAACTAGTAAATGTACCACAACTTTTTCATCCATTCATCTACTGATGGGCACTTTCCAGATCTTAAATTGTGCTGCTGCGAACATAGGGGTGGATACATTCTTCTGATTGGTATTTTGGGTCTCTTAGGATATATTCCTAGAAGAGAGTTCACTGGGTCGAATGGCAGTTGCATATTTATTTTTTTTGAGGAAACTCCATACTGTTTTCCATAATGGCTGCACCAGTCTGCATTCCCACCAGCAGTGGGAGTCCTAGGGCTCTCCCTTCTCACCACATCCTTCCCAGCACTTGTCATTTGTTGATTTGTTGATGGTAGCCATTCTGACAGATGTGAGGTGATACCTCATTGTCATTTTAATTTGCATCTCTTGGATGATTAGTAACTTTGAGCATTTTCTCTTATGTCCTTTGGCCATCTGTATGTCCACTTTGGAGAAGTATCTATTTAGGTCCTTTGCCCATTTTTTAATTGGATTGTTTGTCTTACTTTTGTTAAGTTGTATGAGTTCCTTATATATTTTGGATATTAACCCTTTATTGGACGTATCATTGGCAAAAATGTTCTCCCACAGAGTGGGCGCCCTTTTCACTGTGTTGATGGTTTCTTTTGCTGTGCAGAAGCTTTTTATTTTGATGTAGTCCCATTTGTTTATTCTCTCCTTAGTGTTCTTTGCCTCAGAATATGTATCTGTAAACATATTGCTATGAGTGATGTCCTAGATTTGCTGCCTATGGATTTTTCTAAAATTTTTATGGTTTCTCAACTTACATTTAAGTCTTTTATCCATTTTGAGTTTATTTTTGTGTATGGTGTAAGTTGGTGGCCTAGTTTCATTTTTTTGCATGTTTCTGTCCAATTTTCCCAACACAATTTATTGAAGATACTGTCTTGACTCCATTGTATGCTCTTGCCTCCTTTCTTAAATATTAATTGAGCATAATGGCTTGTGTGGATTTCTGGGGTCTATGTTCTGTTCTATTGATCTATATGCCTATTCTTGTGCCAGTACCAGGCTGTTTTGATTATGGTGGCTTTGTAGTATAACTTTAAATCATTATTATAATTTCTCCAACTTTGTTTTATTTTCCCTCAGGATTGCTGCAGCTATACGGGGTCTTTTTTGATTCCATATAAATTTTTGGAGTATTTGTTCTAAATCTATGAAATATGCTGTTGGTATTTTAATAAGGATTGCATTGAAGTTCTAGATTGCCTTGGGTAGTATGGATATTTTAATGATGCTGATTCTACCAAGCCATGAGCATGGTACAGTGGGGCCTTGACTTACGAGTGTCCCGACTAACGAGTTTTTCGAGATACGAGCCATCTCTGGGCCGATTTTTTGCTTTGAGTTGCGAGCTAAAATTTGGGTTATGAGCCAGCTTCAGATACCCCACCGCTAGTTGGCGCAGCGAACGTCACAGTGAACGCCATAACATCAGCCCAGCATCATGTGTCTCACTTGTTCATTTAATGATTTGACATACGAGTAATTTGAGTTACAAGCTCTGTCACGGAAGGAATTAAACTCGTAAGTCAAGGCCCCACTGTATATTCTTCCACTTGTTTATGTCATCTTCTATCTCTCTTTTCAAAGTCTTATAGTTTTCTGAGTACAGGTCTTTTGCCTCCTTGGTTAAGTTTATTCCTCGGTATCTTATTATTATTGTTGCAGTGGTAAATGGGATTATTTGTTTAGTTTCTCTTTCTGAGAATTCATTATTGGTGTATAAAAAAAAGCTATTGATTTTTGGGTGTTGATTTTGCATCCTGCTACATTGCCAAATTTATTTATTAAGACTAGTAGTTTTTTGGTGGAGTCTTTAGGTTTTGCTCTGTACAATATCATGTCATCTGCAAATAAGGACAGATTTCCTTACTCTTTTCCAATGTGGATACTTTTTACTTCTTCTTCTTGTTTGGTGGCTGTGGCTGTGACTTCCAGTGCTATGTTGAATAAGAGTGATGAAAGTGGACATCCCTGTCTTGTTCCTGTTCTTAGGGGAAATGGTTTTTGTTTTTGCCCATTGAGTATGATATTGGCTGCAGGTTTGTCATATTTGGCTTTTATTATGTTGAGATATGATCCCTCTATTTCCACTTCACTGAGGTTTTTATCAAAAATGGATGTTGGATTTTGTTGAATGCTTTTTCTGCATCTATTGATATGATCATGTAGTTTTTGCCTTTCAATTTGTTTATGTTATGTATCACATTTATTGATTTGCAAATATTGTACCAGCCTTGCATCCCCGGAATAAATCCCACTTGATTATGGTGTATGATCTTTTTAATATATTGCTGGATCTGATGTACTAATATTTTGTTGAGGATTTTAGCATCTATGTTCATCAGGGATATTGGTCTATAATTCTCTTTATTTGTAGTGTCTTTATCTGGTTTTGGATTAGGATAATGTTGGCCTCATAAAAGAGCTTTGAAGTATTCCCCCCTCTTGGATTTTTTTGGAATAGTTTTAGGAGTATAGGTGTTAATTCTTTGAATATTTGGTAAAACTCCCCTGTGAAGCCATCTAATCCAGAGCTTTTGTTTGCTGGGAGTATTTTTTATTTGTTTCTTTTATTTATTCATTTTAATTACTGCTTCAATTTCATCAGTAGTTATTGGACTATTCAGGTTTTCTGATTTTTCCTGATTCAGTTTTAGGAGATTGTATTTTTCTAGGAATTTTTCCATTTCATCCATGTTGTCCAGCTTGTTGGCATTTGTTCATAGTATTTTCTTACAATCCTTTGTATTTCTGTGGTGTCAGTGGTTACTTCTCCACTTTCATTACTGATTTTATTTATTTGGGTCCACTCTCTTTTTTTTTTGATGAGTCTGGCTAATGGTTCATTATCTTGTTTATCCTTTCAAAGAACCAGCTCTTGGTTTTATTGATTTTTTGTTTTGTTTTGTTTTTGTCTCTATGACATTTATTTCTGCTCTAATCTTTATTATTTCCTCCCTTCTCTTTGCTTAGGGCTTTTCTTGTTCTCCTTTTGTTCTTTAAGTTGGAGGGTTAATAGTTTATTATTAATTTTCTTGTTTTTTAAGTAGGCCTCTAGTGCTATGAACTTCCCTCTTGGGACTGCTTTTGCTGTGTCCCATAGATTTTTGGTTGTTATGTGTTCATTTTCGTTTGTTTTTAGGAAGTTTTTTATTTCTTTCTGATCTCATTGGTAATCCATTCATTGTTTCATAACATGCTATTTAGCCTCCAGGTGTTTGAATGTTTTTGGGTGTTTTTACTGTAGTTGATTTCTAATTTCATTCCACTGTGATCTGTGTAGATGTTTGACAAGATTTCATCTTCTTGAACTTGTAGAGACTTATTTTATGTCCTAACATGTAGTCTGTCTTTGAGAATGACCCATGAGCACTTGAGAAGAATATATATTCTGTAGCTTTGGGGCGAAATGTTCTATAAATTTCAGTTAAACCCATCTGATCCTGGTGTGTCCTTTAGGGTCACTGTTTCCTTGTTAATTTT